TTGCTGCTGCTGCTGTTGCTGTTGTTGCTGCTGCTGAGGTGGACTTGTAGATCTTACTAATGGACCAGGTGGAGGCTTACTGGTAACTGGTTCCTCTTGTACAGTTTGATGTTGCTGATGAGGACTGGTATGCTGTTGTGAAGGTGACTGCTGCTGTGATTGCTGCTGTGGACTGGTATGTTGATGAGGACCTTGGTGATGCGGCTGATTCATCGAGGTAGCGGAATGCACATCTTGTTGATGTTGATGCTGTTTTCTGGATATTTGAGGGGTATCTGAAGATCCCTGCGATTCCGCTAATTTAAATTCTGCAGCGAATTGTCTCAGTTCCGAATGCTGTTCTTCCCTTCCACGTGGTGTTGGAACCTTAAAAAGTAAAACTTATAAGTTGCTCCATGGTTAAAAAAAAAAAAAAAAATTTAAATGAGAGTATGTACCGTACCTTTCTATGATCCGATTTATGTATAACTATTTGCCCTTCTACAGAGTTTTGTTGCGTCAATGGTGTATGTTGCTGATGCGTAGATTGTTGTTGTTGAGAAGATGCAACGTTTGATTGTGGAAATGGCGCTGGTGGCGCTTTATCAGCTTGATAAACCTGTCTACCAGGCCGCTCACGTTTTTCTGTATTTATTTTATTCGGAGGTGTCTGTTGTTGCGATGGGAAGCTGACTTGCGGCATCGAAGGAGTAACTTGAGATTGTGATTGATTCTGCTGGATTACTATATCGAGAAAACGAAAATATAATCAAGACTTACACATTACATGTTCGCTATGTAATGTAAGAAAGAGCCATACTCATCATTTAACAGAAATATACACAAAGAACTGAAAATTGTTTCTGCATATACGCGATATACGTTGCAGCGTTGTCAATGTGTTGATAACTTTGCAAAGTTAATTTAGTCAAAAGCATAATTTTAACGTAGAACAGATTAGCAATAACGCATTCCGTTCGATTTTCATCTTTACAAGAAGATGCGAGCAATATCAAATAACATACCTTGCTGTGACTGCGTCGTCGGTGGAGGCACAAACGGCGGTGGTGGATTATTGTATGTGACAACCACTCCATTGGGCGGCATACTCATATTTAAGGATACCGGATGTTGTACCGAGGTATGAGCAGGCTGTACTCCAACTGACATGCTCGGTTGTGGGACATTCACCGTAACCGTGGACGGAGGGGGTTGACTGTAGACATTCTTATTACTTGTGGTTCCTGGCGAAGACGGAGGTTCGCTGGATCTCATCAATTTGCTAGTGTTACCATTTTTCTTTTTCAACGGCGGTGGAATATATTTTCCTTCGGTGGGTCTCGTCTAGAATCAGATAACTAATAAGACAAGTTTGATGGATAAAAAGACGAAATTCTGAGATATAATCTGAATCTTACCACAGCTGCAAATCTTTCCTCCTCATCGCCGTTTTCCAGTTCTAATCTAGCTTTATGATTCGGTTGAGATTCGATCTCATTTGCTATTTCAGCAGCTTTTTGTTCTTGTTCCTTGTAATCTTTTGTATCTTTACGTTGTAGTTGTAGAGTGTAACCGACCAAAGAAGGTTCAAATGTCGTTTGAACTCCGTATTCTTGTTCATTTTTACGAAACATTTCGTTGACGTCCCAACCGTTCTAAAGAAAAAAAAAACCCATTTGGATAATTTTAAACGCAATTCGTTTAATGAGTAGAGTGTCCTCTGAAAGTAGTTGTAATAAATGTACGCGCTTACAGCAGCACCATCCAATTCTAAATCGGCTCCGTTCATGGTAGTCGGCGGATCCCAGGGTTCGAGTTCCTTCTCGCCGATCAAACCATTAAACTTACTAATGGCTGTGTCCGTTTGAAAAGTATCTCTTATAGCATAATCTAAATCAACATCCTTGGCAGATATAGTAACAACGTCTTGCGGTTTAAAAATTAATTTCTCTACTACGCTATCTACGCAAATCTTTCCGGAGCTCTCTACACGATGAGCTAATTCCAACACTACGTCAAATTGACTCGAAAACGTTCTAAACACGCCCTCATATACCGAGCCATTTTGAGTTTGGATCTGTAACAGAAAGCAAAGAAAAGAATTTAACATTAAATCACACAATAACATATTGTATGCATAAATTATTCTTTTGAATTATAGTCATCTGTCATTTACTACCTGTACGGTGTTGCCAACGTGGCTAGTAACCGCATGCATAAAATGAGCATTGTTATAAACCCCCTCCGCTGCGACATTCCTCTCTTGTGGTCCACGTGCTCGCGGAGATCTGGAAAAAGGCATGGATCGAAAAGAAAAAAACGTTATTTTTTCTTGTATACAATCGTCGATATGTGTTGCTATGTTTTGGATATTATACCTGCTATTATGATCTTGACGAGGAAAGCCAAGTGATTGGCAGTACCTGTTATTATTCGTACGGTTCTTCCTCTTGTTCATTTTGCTTGATGGTTCTTGGCCAATCGCTGATGGATTTCTGCCGCCGGTTTGTTGGAGGCTCTCTTGTTTCCTAGTAGGGACCGGAATTTTGACTACTTTCCCGATGACTGCTTGACGTCGAAAATATCCGTTTTCTTGTCCGTGGACGGGTACGGGTACGGGATGTACGAATGTCTTTATGCAACGTTATTACGTTCGTCGGCTTGACTTGTTGCAGAGACGACTGACGCGACGAGATGAAGAAAAAGAAGGACGAGGGTGAAGATAAAAATAAAAACGAAAATGAATACGAGGACGAGATAAAGGATAAGGAGAAGAAAGAGGAAAAAGGGGCAACTATCAACATTCACGAAGACTTTTAGGTTATATATTGAAATAAAACGAGCTCAAATGCAAAACGATACAAAGTGGGCACCAAACCAACGTACAACGCACAAGACGAACTCGTCAAACTGAAAAATTGCGTTTGAACCGCGGCTCGATACAGGAACGAAATGCTGTCACGATCACAGCACTAAGATACTTAATCCCTCAGCCCCGAAACGGAGGACGCGTGTACGCGATATGTATGTACATACGCTGACGGCTTGACGGGGGTGTAAGTGCGCGACGGAAGGCGCGAGGCGTCAGCGCGAAAGCTCGCTTTAAACAAGTACCACGCTCGTGTCTCGACAATTGTCAACGACCGTACTTGTGACGTAACGCTCTACGCGACGGCTGCTCTTCGACGATAGAGTATCAATACGGAAAGTTGCATGCTACGGTTACAGCTCTCGGTCAACGGGCACCAACGGGGCTTTACTTTACTTTAGTCTATGGAAGGGAGGGAGGGAGGGAGGGGGGGAGAGAGAGAGAGAGAGAGAGAGAGAAGGAAGGAGCGAAGGGGAGAGACAGAGAGAGAGAGAGAAAGAGAGAGAGAGAAAAAGAACGTACCGACGACCGTGAAGTGTAAAGTGCAAACTATGACGGTCTGAGAACGACGTGTGCCAAGCCAAGTGTGGCGGCGAAGAATCCGTGAAGATGCACGTTTCTACCTCTCCTTGTTTTCAACTAATCAACATGTGGCAGAACGATACACGACAGACTCGCAACCTTTCAACGTACCTACGAGTCGCCTGATCAACCTGATCACGGTGACTCTTGGACGCAGTCGCCACCTGGTGAACGTATGTTCGGCCCGTTCGCTCTCGTGGCAGTTGTACGGCTCGGATTAAAGCTCTAGATTTACAAGAGTAAAGCGAAAGTCTGCCATTTTTTGGCCTTGTTTACATCGATCTAATTTACATCATGCACTTGATAAGCTGGAAACACAATAGGAATAGGGAATAAGAGATTTCAACCTATCGAAAAGCGTCCATCCTATTATATATGGTTTTTGATAGGTTGAAATTTGTTACTTCTTGTTCCTATTGCCTGTGCTTTTCATAGGCTGCGTTCAGCAGAATCATAAGGTCTGTTTTCTGTGGCTAAACTAGTGTACACTTTTGGAACTTAAAGTGAGATAGAAATACGTTTGATATTTATTTAAAGCGAGAAAGATAGTTCTAGAACAGTCTAGTGCAGAAACAGAAAACAGACCAATATACATAGGACCGGTCTGACCAACTCCGATTAATCTAATCGCTCGATTGTTAGGGCCTCTTTCATCAACACCGATTAACTTAATCGGCCGATAATGTCCATTGGAATTGACCAATCGCATCTATCGTCAAACAAAATGACAAATGAGATTAGTCAATTCTGGTGGACTAATCGACCGATTAAGTTGATCGAAGTTGGTGAAAGAGGCCCTTACATTGAAACTGACCAATCGCATTTGCTGTTCAGTAGAATTGATCAGTCACGGTTGACACTTAATCGACTGATTAGCTTAATCGGAGTTGATGAGATCGGGCCATAGGCCAGTAATTATAGGAAAGATTCCATAGACGTTGCTCAAGATTCAAGATGATCCTGAGCTAAAACTTGAGCCAATCAAAGGCCAGTATTCATAGTCATATCTTAGGTTTGTTCGCGTTCCATGCTCCAACATGCTTCTACTTCTTTCAACCGTAGCTCATACTCACTCAAACGCGCTCATTAGAATAAGTAGGAGCTATGGTAGGAATATGTTGAAGCATGTTGGAGTATGCAATTCGAACAAACCTCTTGAGCCAGTTCTACATTAGTTATTGCAAGTTGATCGCAAGTTTGTTGCGACAGCCAATATGTATGACCGGACAAAACTTCCGGTTGAAAAAATTATTATTTTAAATCGTTTGTATTTCGTATGAAGAGTTTCAAAGTGCAAATAAAAAGGTTTGTGAGTCATTGTATTAATTACAATTAATCATTCTTTTTTGGACCATGTACTTGACCGAAATAATTAACCGGATCTAAATTCAACAAAGTTTATACATGGAATTGTTTGTATTTCGTATAAAGAGTTAAGCGGGGAGCACAAACTCTTGCATAACGCATAACACATGAGGCATAAGAAATTGAACCAACCAGAGTTCTCTATTACATGGAAGGGAAAGAAACGGAGAACTTCGATTGGTACATATTCTTATGCATTACGTGTTATGCGTTATGCAAGAGTCTGTGCTCCCCGCTTTAGGGCCCAGACACAAGCTTTTGCATAACGCATAATACATAGTGCATATAAGCGAATCAACTAATCAGAAGCTTTCCTTTCCTCTCATTCCATGGAAAAGAAGAATTTCGATTGGTTGATTCCATTGTGCACTATGTATTATGCGTTATGCAAAAGTTTGTGTCTGGGCCCTTATGAAGTACCATTAAAAACATTTGTGAGTCATCCAGACATTTTCAATTAAATATTAAAATATCATGTATATGACCGAAATATATAGCGTTTTCGGCCCGATCGGGTTTGCACCAACCTGGGTTGGATTAATCTTTCCTATTGGTTGATGTCAACAGGTGCTACGGTCACGGAAATTCCATTAGACACGATAGATAGTCTCTCTAGTATTTTGATATTCCAGGACGTATTATGAAATTGCTTGGAATGAGTTCCGATCGGAATTATTTAGTTTTCGATATTAAACCCACGTGGACAGAGGAGTGTGTAGAGAGTAATAGGCCTTCTACAATAAGCCGTAGTCCGGATCTACAATAAGGTTTTAAGCCTTAAGCCATAAGAAATGGGCGAATCACAGTCGCTTATTCTTCTCGGATTCGACTGTAATTGGTCAATTTCTTACGGTTTAAGGCTTAAAACACCTATTGTAGATCCGGGATAAGTCAGAACGACGGATGTATTAACCGGTCTTAACCAAGTCGTTCAAGTTGGCTATTGGCCATTTTCACCGATTATGACTTATGCGGGGTCTACAATAGAAGTCGTAGCAGTCGTAGTGTCTTAAGTTGTAGAAAATTGACCAATAATAGTCGATTATTCTTCTCATATTCTACTGTGATTGGTTAATTTTCTACGACTTAAGACTCTATGGCCGGTATTCATAGTCAGGTTTTATATTCAAGACCGTCTTAAGTACGAGCCTAAGAAGTCACGAACCAATCAGAAGGCTGCATTAGCGTCTTAAGATATCTTAAGATCGAGCTTAAGGCGATCTTAAATATAAGAAACGATTATGAATACCGCCCTATGACTGCTACGACTTCTATTGTAGACCTCGCTTTAAGATCGCTTAGAACTTCTGACTTGCGGCTTATTGTAGAAGGGCTATAATGCTTATTATGGTAACCATAAGACGTATCGTAAGAATCAGCCAATCAGAATATTACGAGTTTAAAAGAATTCTCGACTGTGATTGGCTAATTTTTACGGTACGTCTTATGGTTATTGTTACGGGAGGTGTGTGTGGCAACCCTAAGACCAATATTGGGTGCATTCAGTACTACGACCGCTCACTGAGCGCCCAGTGAGTTCTTGTATCTGTTTGGTCTATATTTTTAGTTCTAACTATCTTAAGTAATGACTTAAGACGCTAATGCAGCCCTCTGATTGGTCCGTGACTTCTTAAGACGGTCTTGAATATAAGATCTGAAGGTCGATTCTGTATCTTCAATCAAGGTGAAAATTACAAAAGTGAGCAAATTTACTAGGTATTGACCAATGAAATTGTCAGTATTCTAGTAAATTCACTCACTTTTGTAATTTTCACTTCGTTTCAAGATACAAAATCGATCCCCTGACTATGAATACCGATCAGAGAATCTCGGATCTCTTTGTCCTACAGCAAATCGATAGATTTGAAAAATTACGGCAAAAAACGGATGCATGTGGACCTAGTCTACAATCGGCCGGGAGACATTGTCGTATGTCGTGCGCATGCGCATAAGGTTTATTTTTTTATTGTCGACTGTCGGTTACCGGGCGTCGTTTGGATTAGTTAGGGTATCAATCGTGAAACTTTATCCCTATGATGGAAAGTAAAAAGTGAAAAATTTCTCCATTAATTTCAATGGTAAAAATTTTCACTTTTCACTTTACATCCTAGAGATAAAGTTTCATGATTGACACCCAGGTTTCATCTTTTACGACTAACAACATCCGACAAGCGTCAGCCGACTTGATTGTAGACGAGGTTGTAGTGCCTATTCTACAATAGGGTCGCAAGTCGTAAGCCGTAAGAAATTGGCCAATCACAGTTAAGTATGAGTAAAATAATCGACTATAATTGATTAATTTCTTACGACTTACCACTCGCGACTTTATTGTAGAACAGACCTTAAAGCCATTCTAAATTGGTCGTATCGTAGCTTCGGAAGCGTCGCAAGCATCATGCGACTTAAAAATTGAAGCATCGGATTGGCTGAAGCAATAAGCTTGTGATTTGTGACATCTACGATACGACCAATGTAGAATGACCTTAATATTGGCCTAATACTGGATTTACGCTGCATCCGATTTGCGTCGTACGACGCTCTGCAACCAATCAGAAAACAGGATTCCGATGATACGAAGCAAAATCTATCGGAATCCTGTTTTCTGATTGGTTGCAGAGCGTCGTACGACGCATGTCGGATCCAGTGTGAATCCAACATAAGGATACGATCTACTTGACGCTACAAATGCTTCGAAGCTTTTGATTGACCAATCGGAAGAATTTTACTAAGGGTACGGTCAACGCGATACTGCAAACGCTTTGAAGCGTTTTTCAATTGGTTAGTTTATACAATTGTTTCTTCTGATTGGTCCATGAAATGTTTCAAAGCATTTGTATGTAGCATCAAGTGGACCGCAGCCTTTAAAGCAGATAAATATTCACCTTTCAACTTTTTTTTTTTTAACTGTCGGAAGTGTTTGA